AATCTGTCCTTTTGTTCTGGACAAGCTGAGAGCTTAGACTAGCCTGACAGATTGATCCTGATGAGTAGTAAGTTAGATCAGATCGACACATTCCCAACATCGTTGATTTTCATTTCCAGTGCTTGTTCTCTCACCCCATTTGGTTCTCCAGGCTGTGTCTGTTTGTTCAGTAAATCATTTTTACACTGATGCTCCTTGACAATCACCAAAATGCAGCTCGCACTCAGAGATGGAAAGAATAAACATCCAGGGCTTTCAGAATTTACATATATCTACATCTATACCATCTAAATTAATTATTAAAGACCTCAGAGATAGAAGGGGGGCATTATGGTGTTAACAATTAATAAAGTCTAAATAAACATGCAGAAATATGGCAGGAGGAATACCACAAGATTTTCAAATGGACACAAGCACTTTAGCTCCCTGCTGAATACTGTTGGAGGGCAAAAAGGGAAAGCAGCCCCCCACCAACAGCATGGAAAATTTCTATGTGAAGCTTTTAATCCAGGCAGCAGCATCTGCCTCACAAAAAATAACATGAAGAGGATATGTGTGTCTTCAGAGTGACTTCCAAATCACAGAGACAGCTGTTTAAGAGATTTAAGTCATTAAACTGTGAATCAAGATATGTTAGGAACATCACATACTGTATAGCTGATGGAATATTGAAACAAGCCTGAAAATGGACCACATAATGCTTTAGGTTATCATGGTATTGACGTTATGATCACATATTTGGTACCCAGACTACAGACAGAGGTTAAGATGTCTCAGAGAAACCCCTATTTGTTTTGTTCAAGAAGAATTCTGCAAAATGGGGAAGTGACAAATTTTTCCAGACAGTCATGCTCAATGCATAGAGTATGCTGAATATCTCTGATCATCCAGTTAGTACTACGGTAACCACATACAGTAACACACACTAAGTGTGATACACAGGTACAAACTAAATGCATCATTCAAATGACTGAATATAATTTGATTATATTCATTCAATGCATGGGTTACAATATGGATTACAATCAGACAGCTAATAGTCTAGACTAGAAGGTCTTTATCTATCAGTTTGTCATATGATATCCTATTCTACCAATATTGCCAAAAAATGGTCATAGCAGAATTATGGAATCCAAAATCTCTCCAATAAGCGGATCTTCCATCCCATTCCAGTGTGTGACACCACTAATAGAAATATTTAACATTTCCTCCTCGAGAGTGTTCATCTCCTGTCTTTTTCCAAAAAACAGAAGCACTTCTATAGCAGAGACACATTACAGAAGTAAGAGATAATGTCAGAAAATAAAGACAAGCTGTACAACGATGTCTAAAACAGTTATCCTATCACTAACACAGCCAAACCCTCTGATACTGTATTACATTCTTGCCTTCGGGAGCTTCCTAATCTCTGATGTGTTTTATCGGCTAAAGTTAACTGACAAAAATATTCCTGCTAAATCATTATATACAATATATATAGAGAATATATTACAGAGATGACAGAAGCCTGTAAATGCATTATTGATTAAAAAGTGCACAGTAATGACCTTGGACAATGCAGTGATTTTTAGACTAATAGAGTGTATTAATGAAAATAGAACAGCTGAACTGGGAAACAGCCTGTGACACCAAAGCTTATCCAAAAGCATGGCATAAGCTTAATACCATCCAGATTCTTTTAGTTAGCACGGCTCCCTCAGCCCTCGGCAGTACAGCAGCCTGAACCTCTGGAAAGGGCTGTGGTGCCTCGCTGAGTTAATATATGTTCATCTTGAAAGTGGACAGGTTCAGGGAATCTACAGTCCACTGTGCAGCTTCGGGGTTCATAGCTGTAAGTCGAGACAGCTTCGGGGTTCACAGCTGCAAGTCGACACAAGAAACTGGAATTGGCTGGGGGATAGGAAAAAGAATCGATCAAGCCTGTCATTTTTCACATGCCACTGTAGAACATGCTCCTACAGCAGGCTGACCACTTCCCTGCTGACATCACTGGTTCCTTGCAAGTGCCTTCGAAGTCACAGGAGTCATGGTCTCACCAGGGAGCCAAAAGAGCCCAGGCTGCCTTATTCCCACTCTGCTACTGGCAGTGCTGAGCCAATGGTGCACCAACACATGGTCAGCTTAATGCCATAACCAGGGTCTGAACCTACAAACCCTAGATCACAAATCTCAGCCCGCCCCCCTTAGCGAGAGCCATTACCAGTTCTCCCTTATATGGGCTCAGCTCTGGTATTTAACTGGCTTTATCACCTTCAGGGGTTAATAATTGAAATCACCTGAAAATGATCATTTCATGCATCCATATGAAGAACATGACCTAATCTCGTAGCCCTTGTGATTCGTGGTCGTGTTACTTGTGTATTTACAGGGTGAAATTAATATGAAAAACAGCACAAACTGATATTTTCAATGCTGATATTTGAATAGTATATGCCCCTAGGTTATAGGTGTAGTTTTAGCTCCACTCAGAAAGTAAAACACTCCTTGTCTCGGGGGGGAGGTGGCGAGAGGAGCTTCAACACTTTGTTTTTCAAAGCGTGAATCATTCCGCATTCTTTGTGATCCACGCTGTGATCCAGCACCAATGTGAAGAACGATTTGAATCATTCTGGTTAAATATCTGTTTATCTTCCAAGGGCTCCCTGCAGTTTATTTTTCCCACTAAAAAAAAACAACCAGAATTTCTTCTTTGAGTCTGAGTCCAGAAAATCCCATCAGAAGCTGACAAACTGAGCCTTAAGGGGTTTGGGGGTGGGGGCTGGTACAATTGCACTGATCTGAGGACTCCGATAATCTTTATCTATAAAGGATAACAAGTGCACCCACCAGCTACTGTCATTCCAGAACCTAGCATGCAGAATAGCAGGTAAAGACCCTTGGGTAAAATGGGGATGTTATTCATTCTATGCTCATTTAAAACTTCCTTTCTTTGGTTTTGCGGTTTTCATTCAGTTGCCTCTAGCTGCGTCACTTTTTAATCTAATTCTTAGAACAACTCATTTGCCGAGTGGTTTCTCCCAAGTACAAAGAAAGGGATTCTGGGGAGCGTGGAAGCACAGTAGCTCGGATTTCTACAGCAGTTGTACAAGGTGTGGCAGTAAGGGACTGTGTCTGCCAGCAGCTGCAGATCAGAGTTAAATACCTCCTATCCTTGTGTTACTTTCGCACAATCTGTAAATTGTATTGCAAATTGCAATTGTGTAATTTATTGTATCCTAATGTTAATCTAATCCCTATAAATTCCTGTCCTTCTACTCTTCCATCCCACTTAACGAGCTCGCAGACAAAGCATTTCATTGCAGACAACACCGTTGTATGCTGTACTATCCGTGCTTTAATGAATAAACCTTGATCGATTGATTGATTGAAGTCTGTAATTGTGTTGGTAGTTTTTCAATGACCTCTCTAGTGATAGAGACATGTGACTCTCTGCATGGCCCAGCCCAGCCTCCAACAGACCAGGTCCAATAGACCTTTTTCAGCAGATAGGGGGCTGTTGGTATTAAGTTTGACAAATGAAACAAAGGAAATACACTCAGGAGCTAGCCTTTTGTTGTATACAGACAACACAACACAGGAAAACCACCATTGTACCCCAAGCCTTGACATAAAACTATGGGCAGCAATGGAGCATTTTTTGATCTATTGGACTGCATAAATTAACCCAATGTGGAAACATTGATTTGTGCTATGATGTCTTTCAGTCATTAAGGTAATAGCATAATCACTTTATAGTGCTCATCACTTGAGGTTACTGTAATTTGGTATTCAGATACATATAATAACAGCTGAGTGTTTGTAAACCAAATTACCCCAGGAAAAGCATTTTCATTATATCAGTTTCCAGACGTAGCATTGATTTTATTCCTCTTAACTTGACACAAAAAACCTTTCAGACTGTCTCACACCTAATCTCCCTGTTGTGATCCTTAAATGGCAGCCCATCTTAAATAGCTCCATTGACTGTTTCCATTAGGTACTGTCTTCACCAGCACACAGGCTCCATGTCTCCTTGTAATGGAATTCTGTGTGTAGAGCATTTTGCTGCTGTTGATATGCTGTATATCTCTGTTGTGGTCACTATAGTTTGAGTTCCCTTTCAAAATAAGTTTGGTAACTTTTTTAAACACTTCTTATCATAGCTAGCAGACATCAGCCTTCATATGTACACTTAAATAAAAGCATCACTTGCTCTGTCAGTGGTGTTCAAGTTTATGCTGAGCTTGGTAGTGACGGCTGATCTGTGATGGCCTGTGGTTTCAGCCATATTTGCTTAAATTCAGCCAATCTGGAGCATGCATACAGCACAGTTAGGTTCAGCTAGTTTGCAAAATGTTGCAGAGAGCCTGGTGAGATAAAACATGTTTCTGACATCAAAAACAATTGTGAGTTCCAGCTGGAGGGCACTGGTGTACACTTCACACAGTGACACGTATTGGTACAATTTTTCAGGGCAGCATCAAAAACCTTTGATTATTTTAGGAATTATTTGATTATTTTCTGCTGTTTCTTTTAAGGAGCAGCTGGAATCAAAAGCAAAATGACATCTATCCATCTATCCATCCATATTTAAATGCTTCTTTCAATTCAGGGTCAAGGGAGAGCCGGAGCCTATCCCAGCAAGCAACGGGTGCAAGGCAGGGTACACAGTCCTTTGCAGAAACAAACAGAGACACAAACTCACACCAGGAGCAATATGGGACTGTGAAACCCACGCAAACACAGGGAGAACATACAAACTCCACACAGATAGTACCTAGATAACCCTAACCACTGCACCACTGTGTAGCTAGCAACATACCCATTTTATCAGAATATAGGTCTATTTGGACAGGTTATTGTTCATACCATGTAGTGTTAACACTCCTTGACACTGACTTCATTCTTCATTCTTAGACAACAATGGTACTTATCACACTAAGGAAACAGATTTGTGAATTTCCAATTGAATCTCAAAAACATTACATAAAGCGAGGCAGGATAGGAATGACTTTTCTTACCTTCATTTCCTGAGCTTTCGAGGGGAAAACCGGCACACGACAGGCAAGCAGCGGACACCAAAATCGGGCCTTGGTCTTCCCATCATCCTCTGCACAGAACCAGCCTGGCATGTTTTCTTCCCCTGGAGAGAAGCAGTGAGATTGAAATTTCCTGCCCTGTACACTTCTCAGCCATGTTCAGTAGTACTGGCATTCGAATCCAGCTGTGAATCAATCAGTTTACTTTGCTGCTGTATTTGTAGTGATGTTTATTCCTTGTTTTCAGCTTGAAAATATTATCTTATGGACCACCTCACCACATGTGATAGAATATATCCACCCTCAAGGGCATGCTGTGGAAAACCACACACTATACAGTATATATAATTCTTTTTTCATGTATAATCCTTTTTGGTCCAAACATGAATAAATATACTGTAGGTGTCATTCTCAATATCATAACTCCTCCTCAGTACGTTAAAGACAAGTTCATTTGTAATACAAATTGCTGTCCTACTCCTTGCACAAAGTTACAAAGTCCTTGTGTTAGTTGGTACAAAGGATTGACTGTCAGGAAATTTGGAAATCAGCATCACAGGCTAGAAGCTATTGGGCGCATCTCATGTCAACCACCTCCATAAGAATAAAACACTTTGTGGGTGGCAACTCTAAACAACTTTAGCATCATCTTAAAGGTGAACATGCAGGGTCATATTTCTATCAATCAATCAATCAAAGTTAATTTATAAAATGCACAACAATACAGCGTGCAGCAGTCGTTGTTGGCATTGAAATGTCTTTTCTACGAGCTCACTGGGGGGGTTAGAAATCACAAAATTAAGGTTACAAAATAAGATTACATATTATATATATTTAACACCCTGGTACAAGCAAATTCCTAGGGGATTTGAGTAGATGGGGGAGGAACTGAAATTATGGGGATATACAGGAAAATGCTGAAGCAGTCTGGCCCAGGAAACTAGAATCTCAGAACAGCAGGGCTCAGCCAAGTATGAAAGACATCCAGCCAGCAGGCCACAGAAATTAACCTAAATGTAACTGTTAGCAGCTTTTCAATTTTGCCCCATGAAGCAACAAAAACAGAGGATTCATTTGCAACACAAATACAGTTAGTTCCTTCAGCTCTGCAATTACTATACATGACCCACTATAAGGCACTTTTCTGCTCAGATACCTTGTTTAAAGATAACATCCAGTGTTGTGCCTACATTAATGTCCAGTAGAATGAAAACATTACTGTTGAATCTTTTGCACAAAAAAAAAACTAAAAGAGCCTTTTCATTTAGAATAAGTAAGCTTTTTTTGTCAAGATACAGGTGCCGTTCACTTCCACTGAGGTTTTGCTGTGAGTGAGGGAATTGAAGGTGGGAGAAAGACTGATGGGTGATTAATCTGCTGCCCATCTCTAATATTCCAGATAGTTTTTATTTAATGCGCAGAGAACACTGATGAAGAATGTCATGTTAGAGATGGTACCGTACCTTTGTCAAAAAGCACTTAATGATAACATGCACTTTAAATGCATTGAACAGTCTAAAGAAAAACACTTTTCTCTCACTTTAATGCATCACTGATAAAGTATATCCAGGGCTTGCAAATCAAAGACAATCTGCATTCCCAATAACCTCACACCTCAAAATATAATTGAATGTCTGCATTCCTTCATTTTTCTAAAGCTTTCAAACTCCAATTTAGATATCAGGTTTATCCCACTTGTTTTACTGCTAGTCTGCCACTGCTGTTTGGCACTTACATACTGCACTTATCAGAGATAAAACACAAGGTGAATAATGGTAAGCTCAAGTATACCACTAATTCAGAAATACTTTAGCTCTTTTCAAACATCACAGTTTTGCCAGACATTCTGTGTCATCGCAAAGATGAATTTAGAGCAGCTTTCATTAGGGAAGTAAAAGCCTGCGCAAGTTGTTACTTTTTGGTATAATTGTTTTCTTGTACTTCCACATGGCAAGGAATACTGTTGGGGGCACTGGTAATGCCTTTAAAGTCCATGGTTTCCACTGTGAGCAGACAAATGGATTGATGTTTGATTCTTTGGTGTTTGATTCTTCAGAGGGGATGTTGAAATGCAGTCAAGTCCTAATGAGGAGTAAGGATCCAGATTTACGGATCTCCATTACTGTCCAGTGATGCCGTAGAGCAGCAATGGTCAACTGAGGTTTCCCACGATGCTCTAGTTTTGGTTTAATTTGCCGTCTCACAGCACTAGGGCCCCAGGTTCGATTCCAGGTGCTGTCTGTGTGGAGTTGGGCCCTGGTGTGTCAGTGTCCTGCAATCGACTGGTTTCCCACCCAGGGTGAATCCTGCCTTGTGCCTCTTGCTTGCCAGGATGGGCACTGGCAGCCCCGCGATCCTGGACTGGATGAAGTGGTCAGAAAACAGATGGACGGAAGAATTCATAGCGCCAGTTTTATTCAGTAGCTTAGCTACCTGTGCCTGGCAGAAAACACTTCGGATAACAAACCAGTTTACGTTGGTGCAACAATGACATAATGGTGCACTGCCTCAGGAAAAATTAGATACTTTTATTTCTCGTGCACTGCAATTGTCACTATCAGCAGTAATTTTGGTTCATGCTGAACAAATACCTATAACTATTTTCAAGCTAACACTTCTTCATTTAATGTATTGTACTGTATATTAATATTGTCAGGGTTTTTTATGTTTTTTAATAAACTGCCTTAAAACTGCAAAACCCATTCATTATTAACACTTATGAATTATTCTTTTCATTCTGTGAATTAAATACTCTACATAGTGTGTTTGGCTATATATAATGCTCTATAAGTAAAATACATTTAAAACATTCCCATACCTATTTCATTTCTTATTATGAGACCTCAGCAGCAATATACATAATTTTCCCATCCTAAAGCTCTTATATTGTTAGGCAGCATACTGAGACTGGAATAATACACTGAAACTCTTCACAAAAACAAGAAAACTAATATATATATATCTATCAAGTGGTTTCTTGGGTTCAGCTTGGTATGGGCCTGACAGCACTTAGGTTTTTTTTTTGTTAGTTTTCTTAAAAACAAAAACCCTGCAGACAAGTCTGATGAAGCGTTCACAATTTTTTTGTTGTTATTAGTGCAGAAACATAAAAAAAGACTCATATGCTGATAAGGCTCTCTGAACCTCTTGCCTTTGCAAAACTGCTGACACCCTCTAAGCCTGCAGCCCTTAATTATGGGAGACGTGCTCAGCTAGGACTCACGAGCAGTGTAAGGGATTCGATTACAGCGTCACCATCGAACTGCTCAACAGCCGCAGGCTCGTCTGGTATTCTTTTCACCCCATTGCTCATTTCCCAAATTCCGCTTAATTATTTGATTAGTTAGAGCAATTTAATTAAGGTTTTTTTTTTACAGGTTTCAGGCCTGTTGTGGTTGCAGTCCCGTTACACGGCTTCTCTGTCTGAATTCAGGGTACATTCGAATCGCCTGGTGAACGTGGCCCAAGAAATATCTGCCCGGTTTAGGAAATGCCGACCCAACCCGCTTCCAAAGCGTTTGGCTCCAGCGCAAAATTGGATCCTTTCCACTCTCGCACATTAGTCAATTTTAAATCCGCAAATTATGTTTGAGAGATAACCGGTCGTTTTATTTCTTTTTCACAAGCCGATTTTGTCTTCAGCGGTATTTCTGATAATGGGTGGCATTCCATGATAGCATCGTTTCAGAAAAGTACTTCACATCTAAACAAGTCCCTTATTGTGCTCTCATAATAAGTGAAGTCGCTTATTAAGTCACTTATTAAGTTCCTTTTAAGCACTCATGTTTCCAGAGGGTAGCCTGAGTTTGTCAGATCTCAGAACCTGAGCAAGGCTGGGCCTGGACAGTACTTGCGTCACAGGATTCAAAGAATAAAAACAGGGTGTGCCTGTAAGTGGTTTAGGTGAACCAGTAAGCGATGCTCTTCCTTCTAGATTAGAATTCCCAATATAATGACCAGGTTACTAAAGGTGCCATTGCACTTATTTTGAAAAAGACAGGGGTATTTACATCAATGTCCTAGCTAAATTCGACTTTGGCTTTGTATTATCTGGCCTTCCTAAAGTTGCACCTTAGTTTAGGTGAAAAATATCTTACTTCCTCTGCTGATCTACACTGTAGTGGGACAGCTGGCGCACAATCACTCCCACTCATCACCCCTGCAGATGTTGCAATTCTGTAGCAGATTAAGTTGGTCTCCTCCTGCAGCAGAATGCGTTGAGATCTTTTGGATGATATTTTGGAATATTATTATAGTCTATTAAGACCTCAATACATGGGAATCTCTTCCAACGTAGTCTAGTAGAGACCACTAGAACTTGCAATTACTGTACACTTTATAGTGTGGAATGCTGTCAAAGTGGAAACACCAGTAACTGGTAGGTCTATTGAGGTCCACCATAAAGGGTTTGGTTTTGGTGGTTTGTGCTTTGAAAACGCACTGGTCTAACTCATATGGGAGAGTCTTCTTTATACAGTAGCTTTGCTGTCATGTATCATCCAGGTGGGGCTAGAGAGGAGGCCCCATTGCCTGTAAAGTGCTTTGAGTGAATTGCCCAGAAAAGCACTATATAACTGTAAGGAATTAATATTAGTGGTATTATTATGCCAATATAAAAGGGAATTTTGCTAGAAGCCATGTCAGATGAGAAGGAAAGCTCTCTTTTGGCCTGAGACAAAGGTGTTCTGTAGGTTTTCTAAAAGACCCTTTGCTTTAATGTGAACGTCCTGCACAGCAACTAATACTTTTGTCTCACCTACTGTATATCTTCTTGCCTTAACTCATACCTCCAAGGACAACTTTGCTCACGGTGCACATTTGCAAAAGTGCAGACAGGAGCGTGCACCACTGAGAATGAGACCTGAGCAGGAACACTGAGCACCGAGCAAGGACACAATAATGTGGTACAGCTTATGTGAAAAAAGCTTCCACAAGATGCCTTAGTTATTAAGCAAGGCTGACCGCTCCACTTTCCAATCTGCATGTAAATGTTTGTCAAAGTGCAGCAGAGGATCCTGGCTAAGTCGTCCTTGTAGAACTAAGCCTGATGACATCCTCCTTCACGCTATGATAGGCTGCCCTAAATTCTTGTTTGATTACACAG